GCTGAGCATCTCAGGGGCGCCTGGGTGGCTCAGTTGGTTGAGCCTCTACCTTCAGCTCGGGCCATGGTCCTGGGGTCCTGGACGTGAATGCCCAAGAGATGACTTCAAAGGAAAAGGTGACAAGTGGTGAAAAATGTGCTGAGGCACAGTGTCCCGTGTTCCTAAAGTGACAGGGTTTAAGAGTGAGGGCATCAGAGTGGCTGGGTGGATCAGTCTGTTGAGCGTCTAACTCTTGGTTTCGGCTCAGGTCATGATCTCAGGCATGTGAGACTGAGCGGGTGTCAGGTTCCGCTCAGTCTCAACAATAAATAATCAATAAATAGATAGATAAATAGATAGATAAATCAAACAATAAATAGATAGATAAAATCAAAAAGAAAAAAAATAATGAGAGAATTGCCTTTGTGAGAATGAGTACACCTGGGAGAAATGGAGAAGAGAGAGAAGGGAGGTAGGAAAGGAGCTGGAGCAGAAATGAATGTGCAGGACACTGCCCAGGAAGGCTGGAAAACAGGGCCCATGGAAGGAAAAAGCGAGAGGGACACTAACTTCCACGTGGGAGATTCTGAATAGGAGAGCTCAAAGGTTTCATTCTGGGAAGGTTCAGAGTGGGAGGGTGATGGAGGGTGAAGAAAAGAGAATGAGGAAATAAAAGAGAAATGTCCCAGAGTCCAAGAGGAACAGGAAGGGAGAACTGACCCGCAGGGTGTAACGTTCACGGCCCTTTGTCAGAGGCTAAAGACAGACCTTCCTGGCTCACTTCTGCCGTGGGACCCTGGGAAACATGCAGCTTCCTGGGGCACAAAAACTCCCAGCAGCATCCCTAAGACATCTTCACAGCGTTTATCTTGATTAACCTCCCACAAAAAGGGATGCAGGAGGGATGCCTGGGTGGCTCAGTGGGTTAAGTGGCTGCCTTCAGCTCAGGTCATGATCCCAGCATCGTGGGATGGAGCCTCACATTGGGCTCCCTGCTCAGAAGGGAGCCTGCTTCTCCCTCTGCCTCCTGCTCCCCCTGCTTGTGCTCCCTCCTTCTCTTTGGCAAATGAATAAATAAAATCTTTAAAAAAAAAAAAAAAAGGTGGTGGGGGAGATGCAGGAGAAGTCCACTCCCTTCATTTTCTGCTGGGATCTTACAAGCCCTGCAGGGAGTATGTCAGGAGAAGTGACTTCTCAGGCAGATAGGGGAACAGACATGTTCAGGGCTGAGTGGGGAGGAAGCAGCTGGTGCAGCAAAGCCTCACTGACCCACAGCCCCGGGCAGCAGGTTTGTGTTCGAGGCTTAAGCACTGTGGGCGGAGAGCTATAATGATGCTGGCAGTAATAGTTTCCCACATCTTCGGCCTGGAGGTTGCTGATGGTGAGGGTGAAGTCTGTCCCAGACCCACTGCCACTGAACCGGTCTGGGATGCCCGTGGCCCTGTTGGATGCACGATAGATGAGGAGCCTGGGAGCCTGCCCAGGTTTCTGCTGGTACCAGGCTACATAGTTGCTAACACTCTGACTGGCTCTGCAGTTCATGGTGACCCGTTGACCTGGAGACACAGGCAGCGAGCCTGGAGACTGAGTCATTGTGATGTCCCCATGGGCACCTGCAATCAGAAAAATAGTGAAACAGACACACTTTATCCCAGTCACACTGAAATATGTCATTGCAAATGTGCTTCCTAATGGTACCACATGGCAGTACATCATTGGGTCTATTTTGGAAATAACCGGTGTTTCTCATTATATATCTTAAAAAATTATTTAAAATGACTAGTCCAGAAGGATTATGGCACTTTTCAGCTTCTCACCTGAGACCCACAGCAACAAGGATAGGAGCACCTGCCTCTGTGATGTCATCTTGCTGCCCCTGCCAGCCCGACGCAGCTCAGCTCATGTAGCAACGGCCCCTTTAATACAGCCTGAGCCGCTGGTTTGGGTCTGGAGGGGCTTATGCAAAGCAGTCAGGGAGAACAGAGCAAATCTCATAAGCAGTGGGTTGTGAAAGTACCCAGTGGAAATCTAAGGAGCCAAAAATAACTCCAAAATAGAGTTGTATGACAGGAACACACAAATGTCAACTTAGAAGCTCTGAGAACAACTTAGTTCTAAAGTGACAAACTGCTACAAGATCAAATGAGGAGCTTCCATTCTCAATTTAAAAATGTCTTTAAATGGGTTCAGTGTCCAGAAATGATGAGCTTGGCTCTTCATATCAATAACCCTGGTAAAATAACAAAATATGCTGGGAAACAAATAATGGGAGGCAGGGAGGGGCAAAAGAATTGGAAGTCACGAAAAGAAAGTGGAGAACTTTGGGCCCAGCTTTTTATAAAACCTCTGACTGGGGAACATCGAGCTCTGAAGCCATTTTCCTCCTGCAGATGGGTAAGGATGTAGCAAACACTTGAGCTTGGGTCCCAGAGCTGTGCAAGGGCCAGGGAGATGGAAGAGATGGAAGACAGGCCCAGAATTTCCTCACTCGGGGAGATATGTGGGACCCTCATTGGACCTAGGGGAAGTCTGAATCCTGATTTTCAGTTATTCTATCTTTTCAGTTCAATATTTCTGTTTTGTGTTGAATTAACCAATGAATGAAATCTAGGTGACTTCAAGAAAATTCAGTTCCGGGGCACCTGGGTGGCTCAGTGGTTAAGCCTCTGCCTTCGGCTCAGGTCATGATCTCAGGGTCCTGGGATCGAGTTCCGCATCGGGTTCTCTGCTCTGCAGGGAGCCTGCTTCCTCCTCTCTCTCTCTCTGCTTGCCTCTCTGACCACTTGTGATCTCTCTCTGTCAAATAAATAAAATCTTAAAAAAAAAAAGAAAGAAAGAAAATTCAGTTCCCTCCAGGGGTTTGAGAAGTCAGCGCAGAGTTGCTTGGGCACCATATAAACTTCCTGCACCTGTTCCTCCTCCTACTGTTCCATCTTTTTTTTTTTAAAGATTTTATTTATTTATTTGACAGACAGAGATCACAACTCCTACTGTTCCATGTAAAGCAAAGGGAAGGGGGCAGGGGTGGGGTTCCCTTAAGACATGCAGTCCCAGTGAGGAGGGCAGAGGCTATGGAGGCTTCGGGCACACTGCAAGTCCAACCACAACACTTCCGCCATCTTTCCTCTGAATGGAGCAGATGCCTGAGGCTTCCTCTGTCAGGTGTCACCCTGGCTGTTCCTTGGTCCCTGTGGCCGCTGCACTGCTTTGTGACATGAGCCATTTCCTAAACCCAGATAGAGCCTGTAACAAGTAGACCCTGCCTGGGGATCCACAACTCACCCTCAAAAAGGGTCGATTCTCCCAAAACTCCACCCCTCAATTTGCCCCTGATGATGGTTAATTTTATGTGTCAACATAAGTAGGCTAGGGCGCCCAGTGAAGTGGTCAATGCCCGTTTAGATGTTGCTGCTGAGGTATTTTTTAATGGGATGAACATCTACATCAGTAGCCCTTGTCATAACACAGAGTCTCCTCCCGTGCTGCAGAAAAGATTCACCACAGCCCTGTTTTGCTTCAAAAAGGAAAGAAAACTTTATTATTATTACAGAAAAACCAATAGAAACAGAAGAGGAAAGGAATCTACACATACAGGAAGAGAATAGTAGGCAAAATGAGAATAAGGCCACTTTACCTCATAACAGGTACTTACAACACCCCACCTCAGCTGCTGGGAAACCCCGTGGAAACAGCCAGGCTGGAGTCCCGACTGAGAGGCCTGGGAGGAGCATCCTCCCTTCAGGGGACACTTCCAATGGACCATCCCCACAAGGGCCATATTTATAGGGCAAATAATAGGGTTTGAAATTAAACATTTGTTCACGTGCGTGCAGTTTGGAGCAAGTTGCACGTCCACATTGTCATGTTTGTGTGACAAACATGACGCATGTTTGTCCCATTCTGGGTGGGGGGCAGCCCTGCCTGGAGCAGGAGGGGATGGGAGACAAGGCTGTAGCTCTTGACGTCCACAACAGAAGGGCTGTTCCTGGAGGCCAGACAATATATTTTAAACAGTTGGCTCCCAAGGTCATTCACACAGCACCAGTCTCACA